TTCAACATTAACTGGTCTGGTTTGTCAATCTTGGTTTCTGTAGAAACCATTGGCTGGTTTGAGGGATTGTGATTTTTTGTGCAGCTTAAGGGGTGGCATCAAGGTAAATGTTAGGCTTCCTTCTTAAAGGTCTGAGATGGCAGTTTCTGGTGTGGTGCACACTGGGCATGAGCACTATGGTATTCACATGCTGCCCACCCTCACAGACCAGCACAGAGCATCTGGGGAAGCCAGTGGAAATATCGTATCTGAGCACAGGTACTAGGTTTGGGTGAGCCACTAATCAGGGAATGGTTTTCCTTAACAACAGATCAACTTGGTGAGGCTAAATGGCAGAACCCGAGCCACATCCAGCAGGTCACTGGCTGGGTCAGGGAAATGACCTTCCACTCCTGTCATAGACAATGCTCCCAACCCTAGAATATTGCCTTAAGAGTGACAGGACTTCCACATTCTTATCTGTTTACAGGCTATGCTTACAGATGCAATTCAAATAGAATCTCATTACAATTCTGTAGGGCTGCCAGGCTTTAATTTTCCAGACAGAAACCAAGCATAAGAGCTCAAGGCCACTGACTGGTGGCAGTCAGGATGTCTTTGGTTGGAGCTCAGTACCTGGAAAGGCTTTGGTCTTTATCCACAAATATTTTAAAATACCTTCAGAATAGATGGCGTACCTCTGAATATCGTCAGTGGAAGCAAATGTACATCTTATAACCTAGGGATTTTCAATATTGACCTCAGAAGAGCCTGGAGGGCTTGTTAAAATGGGGATGGCTGTGCTCCACCTTCAAACTTTCTGATCCATTAAACCTAAGGTGAGGCTTGGGGTTTGCATTCCTAATGAGTTCTCAGGTGGTACTGATGCTGTGGGCTGAGGGACTTACTTCTGGAAAGAGTGAATCATATAAAAACCAAGGCTAGTAATTTAGGTCTAGGATCAAACGGTGTAGCTCCACCATTTGGTCAAAAACAATGGGAGGAAATGGAATGATGGCCCAGACAGGTCTCTTTCTGTTTGTTTTGACTCTTTTGAGACAGTCTCCCCATGTACCCCGGAACACAATACATAGACCAGGCTGGCCTTGAACTTGCTGTGAACCTCTTGCCTCTGCTTCCTGAATGCAGGCTGTGTGTGCTGCTGCACCTGGCTGGTTTGAGGAAAATCATTTCCCCACTGGGTGCCGAAGAGTTGGAAGAACAGGAATACCTTGCCCAGCTTCACACTGTGAGACATTCATTATCAACCTTTAATTTTATCTTTTTCCAGTTAGGGCAGTGACACTTCAGCCTGGTGTCAGGGAAGAGTTAAGAAACACTGAGTGTCGCTGAGCAGGCAGGGGTCCTTTCTCTGCTGCTATCGTAAAGGGTGCAGATGGGAAGGTGGAGGGAAACTCTGATTTTTCCTTTCCTGATTTTTGCTATTGTGATCAGAATGGAATAGGTGAAAAGGTCAAATTTTAGATGCCAGAGACAAACATGTAACATTTCACCCAGAGAAGAAGAAGAAGAAAAAAATCCCAGTAGGAGAAAAAAAAAAAAACCCAAACCACCAAACAACATATGACATTGGTACTGAGAGAGTCAACCCTTTGTGTCACAGCAGGGAGAAGGAGGCAGAGGAATGCCTAAATATTGGCTCTATTTTAATTTCAATTCTACATTACATTAAACTCTCCTTGTACTCCTCTTTATTTTACAGTGAATGCTGACACAAATTGGCGTGCCTCCTCTTTGACATCCGTATTCCTCTTGAATTATGTATTTCTATCTGGAATGAGGTTTATGGGGCTAAGCTTTCTTTCATTTAGATGGATGAGAACAGAGAGGATCAATGGGAGGTCAAGTGTAAAATCAAAGTGAGGTGAGGCTGAGGTATGTTCAGGCCAGCGCTTTATTGCCCAAAAAGGCTGAAGGTGATATTAAAGATGATTCTGGTCTCCCTATTTTCACCACATCAATTAAACTTCAATTAGTACAAAGCAAAAAGCTCCTTATGCCTCCTCGCCTAAGTCCTAGGTTCTTCACTTGTTGGTACCCTGTCTTTATTTGTAAAAGAACAGGCGATCATAACAACTGCCTCACTGGGGTTTTGTTTAAGGTTTAGTCACAGCTAAAAGAAGTCCCTGCTAGATGCCATGTGCTTGTGGGGAGGGGTCCTCAGGTTTCCCACATGTGCAGGACTGTGGTGCTCAGGCTGGTGACAAATGGCTTCTCATTTGCTGGCTCCATCTGGGCCTGCCTGTGGATCAGGGTTCTCTCTCAGCCTCATCAGTCAGTGGTGGCCTCTTCATGGCCTGTCACCAGTTCTGAGGTACACCATTTTGATGGAGTACTCTGAAGCAACGCTTGCATCCAAAGGATCTCATATAAAACACAGACATACTGAATAATGTGCAAAGCAAACATCTTTGTACCCGCTTTGTGTACCCCATTCTACCTGTAGTCCAAGCTTAAGCCCCATCCTTTAAGCCATGCTCAGCCACAGCAGAAAGCCCTTTCTCTATTCTCAATCTCTACTCAACGCTGAGAGTGAAAATGGGGGAAAGCTGTCTTGCTTGTTGCTTGATAATAAAATAAGAGCACCTCATGTTTTACTTACAGCTGAGCATGATATGGAAGTTGTCGGGATCGTTAAGACCTCAGTAAGTAGTTCTGTCACACCTTCTGAAGTTGGCTGGGCCCAGAGGCCATGTCTAGGTGTCTGTCACTCACCAGTACACCTCTCATTTGGCCAGGGATGGCCAGACTGCAGAGACCGTGAGGTGCACTGTCAGCCTTGAAGTGGATGGCTGCAGCTCCCCAGGTTCTGGGGCGGGGCCAGCTTGGGCTGTGTGCAGCAGAATCCACAGACCCTCAGTTAGGGCCTTCACTGCTCTGTAGTCTGGGAAGCCATGGAGAAAAATGGCTTAAGGAGACTGAAAACTGGCCAGGACCCCTATTTGCCCAAAATGTCTGTGGTAGATTAACTCATTCTATAATTAATAAAGGAGAAAAGGAATCTGAGTGCAAACTAAAAGTGGAATGAGAAAGCTCCTATTCTTCTGACACTGTTAATGAAGGCTTTGTGTATAAATAACTTTCCATATCTTCGAATAAATGGCACTTAAAACCAAGCATCTGTTGGTGACTCATCGGTCCTAAAGACTGGCCTTGCCTTTTGTGGTCAGCAATCTTTCTTCCTTGTGACTCCACCATTCTAGACAGAAAACAGTTAATCCAGCATGACTTGGGATCCTACCCAAGATTTACTCAAACATTCTCTGCCAAGTGCTCATCTCCACCAGCTGCTTTCGTCTCCTGATGAGCAGTGCTTGAAGTATGGCCATTGTTCTCTGGGAACTGCTGAATGGCTCAGAGCCGGCCGATTATCACAAGGTAAAGGCCTCTGATGGCATGAGCCCCAGCCACAGGCTGCACCTCCGCTACACAGAGAACTTTGAGTAATTAGTCATTGCACAATGCTGCATCCATGCCTTTCTGTGCTTGAGCTGTTAGGCCACAAAATCAGCAGGCAGTTGCTGTTAGGAGAGGGTTTCTGGGTTATTTATGATGTCTCCACTTCCTCACAGTGACTGCCTCACTCCTGGCTTTTGAGCCAGGTCTACACTATGAGGATGAAGGGAGAAACTGAGCAAAATTGTCTGGAGACTAACTGTGCTAAAAGTTGGTGGGGGTGGTTCACTGCCAAGTGCTTGGCCCTGGGCCGGAACACCTGGTTCTATCTACCCACCCAATCCCATCATGCACTGCCTGTGAGGTCCCTGGCAGGAAGGAGGAGGCTGTTTCAGTTAGGAGGGAGCATGGGTGGTAGACAAACCATTTGAACTACCATTGTGCTGTGACTGCTTATGTGGAAGCTATACATTGCAATTTATATTATATTATTTATTTATGATTATATTTATTATTAAATGGCAGCTGGTATTTAAATGAAGGGTAGGTTCTTGCTGTCAGCACTTGTCTGCTGGACAGATCAGTCACCACAGAAGACAGGTATGCATGCCTTTGAAGGACACAGAAGTTACGTGAGATTTAGATTTTTTTTGTATGTTACACTTCTCCTATTACTGTCTGTGGAAACCGGCGTCAGCCCTAGTGAACCAGGAGCCAAAATCACTGAGACCAACTGAACGGTGTTTGTTTTCCCCACAAAATGGCCATCTTGCTGTCTTCTGCCACGTAGTCCAGGCTGGCCCATGAGCCCTAAGGATCTGCCTGCTTCTGCCTTCCTTGTACTAGGATTGCAAATGCACACTTGGCTTTTTTTTTTTTTTTTCTTCGAGACAGGGTTTCTCTGTGTAGCTTTGGAACCTGTCCTGGCACTCACTCTGGGGACCAGGATGGCCTGGAAGTCACAGAGATCCACCTGCCTCTGCCTCCCGAGTGCTGGGATTAAAGGCGTGCGCCACCAACACCCGGTGATCACACTTGGCTTTTAAAACATGAGTGTGTGTGGGTCATTTTATAGACTGAGAGATCCCCTTAGCCCCTGTTTTTTGATTTCTTAATACAACCTTTCTGATGGGGTTTGATGGGATTTTGATACAGGTTGTATTTTTTTTGGGGGGGGCAGGGTTTTTATACAGCTCAGGCTGGCCTTGAACTCCCAATTCTCCTGCTTCTACCTCCCAAGTGCTGGGATCACAGATCTACAACATCATTCCTGATTGACCTTAGTATTCTTGGGGCCTTCAGTTTTAATGCTTTTGTTTGGATAGAGATGAGTTTCAGGCAAAGTGGGATATTGAATCTAAGACTCCTTCAGGAAAGAACCAGTCACACGTTTAGAGAATAGCAAGAAATCCTGTCTCTACTGAGACTTTGGAGTCTGGATCCTGTCCTTTGTTCCATTTGGACTTTGACATTTACACTATCTGTGTGGTTCAAAAACTTTATAAGAGAATCCGTATTCAGCTAGGGACAGACCTGGGGTGACCAGTAGAGTTAAGAGGGAGAGGGGGAGCCGGGCGTTGGTGGCGCACACCTTTAATCCCAGCATTGGGGAGGCAGAGGCAGGCGGATCTCTGTGAGTTCAAGGCCAGCCTGGTCTCCAGAGCGAGTGCCAGGATAGGCTCCAAAACTACACAGAGAAACCCTGTCTCGAAAAACAAAACAAAAAAACCCCCAAAAACCCAAACCAAAACAAAACAAAAAAAAGAGGGAGTGGAGGTGTGGGGGAAGGAGTTGGAGGGAAGACACTGTGGGGTGGAAATGATTTTCTGTACTCACCTATGAAATTCTCAAATACTAAACAAACAAACAAACAAACAAACAAACAAACAAAAAACCCCAAACTCCTTAAAGCTAAAATAGCAAAATGTTTAAAATTAATACGGCTGCATTGCTGTGGCTTATTTTATTTTAGTTATTTATTTTGAAGTGTCTCTCTATGCAGTCTCGGCTGTCCTGGAATTTTCTATGTAGAACAGGCTAGACTTGAACTCACAGAGATTCTCCTGCCTCTGCCGCTCAGGTGCTGGGATTAAAGGAGTATGCTACCATGGCTGGCCTATACTATTTATTTTTAAATATCTTTCAGAGTTACTGAAGTTATTTCCTAACTTTAGGAGGGACGGGGAAGAGGGAGAAAGGGGAAGACATGTAAAGTGGTAAATACATGTGTTTGAGGCATGTTATAGTCAGAGCTGATTTCAATGAGTAGATTCCCATATGCTAAAGTTAAAGAGCTGACTACAGAGAATAAAAAGGGTTCCCATCAGAAATAGGTCAGTCATGGGGGAGTCACCTAGCACACAGAACTTAGGGGCTTTGGCCCAACTGTGTTTTGTTTTGTCTGAAATAAAGGAGAGAAAACTTTAGGTTTTTAGTTTTGGAGACTCTCAGAGAAGATGCACATAACTCCACTTCCTAAGGACCTTTCTGTCCCTTCTGTCCCCAAACTTCAGTGGGGTTAGAGTATACAATCACCTCCTCCTCCTCCTTCTTTTTCTTCTTCCTTTTGAGACAGGGTTTCTCTGTGGCTATGGAGTATGTCCTGGAACTAGCTCTTGTAGACCATGCTAGTCTTGATTTTTTTTTTTTTCCTGCAAGACAGGGTTTTTCTGGGTGCCCTGGCCATCTTGGAACTCACTTCTGTAGACCAAGCTGCCCTCAGACTTACAGAGGTCCACCTGCCTCTGCCTCCTGAGTGCTGGGACTGAAGTTGTGCACCACTACCACCGGGCAAATTTTATATTATTAAAAAAGCTGCCCGGGGCCAATTTGATGCCAGCCTGGTCTACATAGTAAGATCCAGGACAGCCAGAGCTCCATAGTGAGACCCTACCTCAAAAACCAAACCAAACCAAACCAAAAAGAATCCCCCCCAAACCCAAACAAAAAGTGAAAAAAATCTGTGTGTGTGTGGTAGCATGTGACTGTAATCCTACAATCCCAGTAACTCAGGATATGATTAAGGTAGGTAGAGAATCTTGAGTCCTACTGTAGTGTGTGCTTGTGCAGGCACGTGCGTGCACTCGTGTGCGCATGCATGCACACGCACACACAGTCTTCCCTTTATACCATTAGTAGTATATTTACACAGAATACAACCTATAGCACGCACTCATATTTTTCTACAAAGAACAGGCAGATGTCCACATCTGTGAGCCATACACCTCCATCGGCAGCAGTGACCAATGAAGAGACTGGCATTGCCTGGCTCCAGCTTTTTGGGCTCTGTAGTTTGATAGCAGTTTTGAAAAAAAAATCTCTTCATAGTTTCAATTAAGTGTCCTCCAGAAACCTCTCCATTCTATGCGAGGTACTTAGAAGACTCACATTATAGTCCTGGTGGGTCTGCCCTGGAAAAGAAGCCAGGAGCAGACCACAGGCTCATTGCCTTCCGTTTCACCAGGCTCCTGAAGGGTGGGGCTGAGGATAAGCAAACCTGAAGAGTAGGGTGCTAGGAGGAAAAGATGCCAATCATAGATGGTTACAATCTACCTCTGCCATCCCACGCTGCTCATCCGCTAGGGATGAGCTCCTGCCTAGGCCCACAGGACACTCCAAACCTAGATTTCTATGTTTCTCCCTGGACTCTTGCTATGCCTGAGGTGACTGCTCCTCCAGTCCATGCCACTCTTCTCCACAGGCACACTTTTGGTGTTAGGCCATCTCTGAGAGAGGACTGGTCCTAGGCCCCACCAGGAGCTGCTAGGATGGGGCTCTGGGCACCTGTACAGGTGAACCCAGTTCTGCTGTGGAGTAGTGCATCAGAAACATGGAAAAAATAGCCTGACGCTCGGACCTGGTTCAGTTCTTCAACATGAAGATGACATTTCTGGTAAGTAATTACAATTAGATTTTTAGAGCTCTGGGTTTTCATCTGATCACATGCAAGATTAAGAAAGATAATTTCAAATATTGAATTCCGCCTGGTTAGCTAATAAATGAGGTGATCTGCTGATGTGAAAGTGATGTGGTACATCTAATACAGCCTTCAGGGCATGACACATGTCTGTGTCCTCTCTGCCAGTTGCCTTAGCAATTACCCTGTCCTTTGTCCACTCCTCATGGCCAGCGAACTCCTTTTTGTATTTTTGTTCTTTTCTGTCAGCTTCTGTCAGCAGAGTTTCCAGAGTATTTTATAAATGTCATTCTTAGGGCAAGGAAGGCTATTTGAAAAAAAATAGATTTATTTGTGTGTACTAATGTTTTGCCTGTGTGTACCTGCATGTATGCATTCACGAGTGTGTGTACCACATGTGTGTGTGTGTGGTGCCCATGGAGGCCAGAAGGTATTGGATCCTTGGGACTGGAGTTACAGTCAGTTTTGAACTACCAGGAGGATACTTGGAATCCAATTCAGGTCCTCTGGAAGAACAGCCAGTGCTCTAAGCTACTGAGCTATTTCTCCAACTCCAATGAGGGCTATTTTAAAGATTTAATTTTAACTATGTGTATAAAGTGTGTGTGTGTGTGTGTGTGTGTGTGTGTGTGTGTGTGTGTGTGTGTGTGTGTGTGTGTGTGTGTGTGTGTGTAAGTGTAAACATGGTGTGTGTGCATGCAGACGCTGGAAGAGGGTGTTGTATCCCTTGGAACTGAAATTTCAGGTTGTGAGCCACCATCTGTGAGAGCTGGGTTATCTGGAAGAGTAAAAATAACTGTTCTTTGCCACTGAGCCACCGTCCAGCCCCAGGAGGACACTTTAGAACTCAGTGGGCTTCCTGAGTTTCAGAGGTGCCTTTCACTCTCTGTAACCTGGACTTTTTAGTTGTGGTCTTTGTTAAACAAGAATATTTTAAAAGGGAACACTGGGTAATTATTTCATTTTCAAATAATTTATAAGGAGCACTGCACCTCTGATTTCACCTTTCTCTAGATATTTTAAATGCAGAATGTAAGGGATGAGATGAAGCCTGGAGAGAAGTCCCAGAGACAGCTGAGTGGAGCGACTCTTGCTCTCCAGCCAGTTACTCCCCAGAAGGAACTAGAACTTTGGGCGTTTCCGAAGGGTGGGTGTAATACATTGAGATTGGGACTCCTCACAAAGGACCCCTAAGCTGGGTCCTGAGCATGGGGAGTTTGCTAGGCTGGACAGGAGGAGTGGCTAACTCATCTGAGCTACAAAGGCAGTTGGGAAATGTTAGAAAGAGGGTCGCTGCCCTCAACAGTTCAGGCTCCTACCACAGAAGTTTAATGAAAAGAAAATTTGATTATAATCTGTAAGAGAATGAATGTTTCCTCCAGGAATGGGCACTCAGGGACAGAATTTATGGGTGTGAATCCTGCCAGAGTCATTATTATCAGGAATGACTTTATCCCACCACACCACTTCCCACACAGCCGGCCTTGCCTGTAGAGGAAGCAGCTATGTTGGAATGGTGGCACTGCCTGGGTTCTGTGTACAGTGGGCAAAGCAAGCTCCTGGCATTTTCTGTCTAGAAACCCCCAATTGGCATAAGTAACCAGACAGACACAGAGGGATGTACTAGCGAGTTGTTTCTTTGTGGGTGCTGGCACCAGCTGGAGGTATTCGGGGTTTATGGTGGGTCATTCCCTTCTATTGAGGCTGCAATGTAAGCACAAGAAAACAAGGCCTTTTCAAGATCTGGCAACTTCTCAAGATCTAGAGACAAGGAGTGATTATAGAAGTCTGTATCATGACAAGTGACAAGAGTATCAAGTCACAGAGAGGTGGACTGTCACCCAGATCAAAAGGCGGAGGAGTGAGACAATACGTAAGTTATTTGCTCAGAGCAGTCTAGCTAGCTAATGGATAAAGCAGGACTAAAACCGAGCTGTCATCTGCCTCAAGCCACTGGACTGGGAAACATATAAATGCAACCTTCACTTTTTACTGAAAACGTGACATGGCTCATCCTGCTGGTTTGCTGCTCATCATTTTCTCCTTAGGGGACATCTGATTTTTTCTGAATTTATTTTAGGTCACTTCTGGGCATCTTCATTTGCTTCCTTGTATTAGTCTGCCAGGGGTGCCAAAACAAACCACAGATTGAATGGCTTAAACAACTATTTCTCATAGTTCTCAATGCTAGGGGGTCTGAGACCAAGGTGTCACCAAGATGGCGTTTCTCTTGGCCTGGCAGGTGGCTACTATCTTGCTGGTGCTCATGGGGCTCTTTCTTTTTGTGCATGCAGAGTGAGCTCTTCCATGGAACTGCCTCTTAGGACACACAGGCTATTGGAGCAGGAGCTTGGCCTGTGACCTCACTTAACCTTAATTGCCTTCAATGGCTGTCTCCAACTAAAACTGCACTGGAGGCCAGGGCTTCAACATGTGGACTTGTGGGGGACACAATTCAATCTTCATCATGGTGTCACATGTTCTTCCACTCCCAAAAGTCTTGTAGTCCTGCTTGTCCTGGAACTTGCTATGTAGACTAGGCTGGACTCAAACTCACAGCAATCCTCCTGCCTCTGCCTCCCAAGTGTGGGATCAAAGGCATGCACCAGCATGCCCTGATTTGGAACCGTTTTAAATAGGAGGGTTATGATTGATGACGAACCAGGATTGCAGGCGTATTCCATCATGCTCAGCCTTTTATGGGGTACTTTGCTTCCAAACTCTGCTGCTTATGCGTGGGGTTTATACACCAGCACTTTACTGACTGAGACATTACCATAGCCTTGCCTGGTCCCCTTTACAAGTCTTTCTGCTTAGCCAGTTGCCAAATCCAAGACCCATTACAAAAGCAGAGTCAGGCTGACTCAGTGCCCCGGTGTGAGGAAGAAGGCCCAAGAGCCAAGTTGGTAACAGCAGCTTCATCCAGAAAGGAGCTTGAACATGAGCAGTTTCTTTCCGGATGTGCAATACATTTGAATGATGAACTGAAGCAGTAAGCTTTGACATTTACCTGGATATTTCCAAGGGGAACTATATAAAGTAACATTTTTGAGGAAAACTATTTCTCCCAAAAGAATAAGAAAAAAAAAATCCTGTCAAAGTGTGCACTGAAATATCTAGACTGGACCCTTGAGGGCCCCAAGTAAGAAGGTACGACTGGTCTGGTATGGCAAAGAGCATCCTTCCAGAAGCCCTCATGTCGAAGGGTGGCTTGACCTGGTTACATGGAGACTTAAGAGTACCTGAGAGGTTGATGGTGAAGCCAAGAACAAACTGGACATCAAGGGCTCCTCTGTGATGACCCCACCAGCAGCCTTGGAGCGATGATGGGACCTACCTTGTGTTATTCTTTTGTTTGCTAGATATCGATGGCTCACACAGCTCTTGGCTAAGCCCCCAAAAAATATTTGTTTCAAATAATAAAGTAATACCCTAAAAACACAGGTTTATGGGCATGATCTCAAATAATTCAGAAGGATATGAAGGGGAAAGTGGTAATGATGACACCACTCCCTTCCCGAGAAGTGATCAGAACAGCCTGATGAGCTTGCTCCAGATGTAAAATCTTTATTTACCTACCAAGATCTGCAGTAACTTTCCAATAACCAGCATGACATAGTTATTGTGTAACCTCTTCTACCGAAGAGGACATGCCATCTTTGAAAGTTTGGGCTAATAGAAAGTTGAGATAAACATCCTTGCATAAATATCTGTACATGATCACACCTGTAGCATAGACTCCTGGAAGGGGATTTGCTAGGCTCCAGAGAGTGTGTTTTAATTGGTACTCTCAGGTCACCCTCTGAAGACACCGTAAGGATGCATGTTCCCATTAGAAGTACATGGTGTGACAGAATGTGGTTTCTGAGCTGCTGGAGTATGGACATTATCTACCTTTAATTTTTTTTTTCTTTTTGTTTTTTGAGACAGGGTTTCTCTATGCAGCCCTAGCTGTCCTGGAACTTACTCTGTAGACTAGGCTTGTCTTGAACTCACAGAGATCCTCCTGCCTCTGCCTCCTGAGTACTGAAATTAAAGGTATGCGCCACCACTGCCTGGCTCTACCTTTAATTTTTTGCTAACCTCATGGGCAGTGGTTCTCCCTGCTGTTTAATGGGCATATTTCTGGTGTCCTGTGAGGGTAAGCATTGCATGGTTTCTTTGTTGTTCTGTACCTCTTCTTCTGGGACCTGCCTATTTACATTACTCTGGAGGGATATTTTATGTGGGGTGTAGGGAGACACTGTAACCATGCCCCCTAAGGGCTGGTTACAGGTATGCCCGACCACGCCCATCAGGGTGTGGTCAAGGTGATGTCAGGGTGACTTGGTAAAGGTTTAAAGAGATAGGGAACACACATGGTAACTCTCTTTTCCCTGCTGTTTTGGCTTGCTCTACTTGCCTGCTGGTTGGCTACCTAATAAATATTTATCCTGACCATCACGGGCTGCAAATTAGTAATTAATTGTGATAGCGGGGGACTGCAGAAGCATCTGCACCCGGTGACAGAATCACAAGCACCAGCCTTTCCTTCTCCTACCCAGCTGGTGTCTTCCCCATGCCCCTCCCCATGCCCACTCCCATGGCACATTACATGTGTTCTCCCATAAGCAGAGGAAAAACTGAATGAAGACCTGGTGGGATACAGGAGCTGCTGAAGGCACTGGGCCCAAGGCCTCACCCATGCTATGCAAATATCTCAGCTGAGCTACATCCCAGCTGGTGGTCCTGTGACTGACAATGGGTGTCACAGAGTAAGTCTCCCAAGGTCAAACAAAATCTCTTCCTGGATTAAAAAGTCAAAAACCACGAGGACACAGAGTTAGAGTAAGTCATGATTATTCTGTAGTCACCTCTTCAATATCCAACATTCTATTATTCTTTCCCCACAGTATCTTACTCTATTACGTGTTCAGCAGTGAAGGACACACAAACATTCTGTTCTGTTTCTGGGCAGAAATCAACAAAGACTGTGTAGAAACCCCACTCATACACTGATGGTGCATGCTGACTGGAAAGCAAAAAGGGGGAGGATGAAGTGTGCACTTCTGGGGAAACACAGGCCACTGTCAGAGACAATTTCAGCAGTGGCTACATGATAATCTGGAGTGGTCAGACTTCCCAGTGGACTGCCATATGGCTAGGAGCAAGCAGTGCTACTGAGCACCTGGGCTGTGAGACACCTCTTACTGTGACCGACAGTCATTGGTTCTAATTACATTTGGCATTAGTGGTTGGACCTTGCACCTGTCATAGTAATGTGGCAGAAAGGGAACAGGGTGCAGGGGGCAGGGTAGGAGAAAGGTCTACTAAGGTGGGGGTAATGACCCCCAGATTGCCAGATCCCAGGATGGGAGAACACATCCCAAAGAAGCCACCTGTAGGTATCTAGCAAGTGACACTACTATAGTGTTCCCCTGGTAACTTTCACAGAAACAATCTGTACTTCCTCCTGGGGCAATCTCCATGCAGGGGATGTGATGCAGATAGGACAAACAGAAGAAACAGCAGCAGCAAGTAGGGAAGACGCATCCCCTTTGCCCCTGGCTTTTGTTTAGTCTCGACTTAGTTACCGTCCTGATTTATGGTGTATGATGTAAAGCCAGTGATTCTGGAGGACACAGATTTAGCCTGAGTCCTGCATTCTTGAAATGACAGTGTCAGGGCAGATTCTAGGGCTTAAGCATGTACACAAAGAAAGGCAATCAGCACATAAGGATCTTACAGAGCTTACAGGGCCAAATAATAGGACGGCATTATAATGTTGCATTTCATCACACTAGCATGATAACCCCTAAGTATCTCTCTCTCTCTCTCTCTCTCTCTCTCTCTCTCTGTGTGTGTGTGTGTGTGTGTGTGTGTGTGTGTTCATGACACAGAATGCACTTCCATTGATTCCTGACTAGAACACACACGATCTGAGGATGAGATGCAGAAATGGGAAAAGAGACATCTGTCATGTCTTCCAAACTGAACAGAGGACATCTGCAATTACTGCCACCCTCTCACGCCAGCACAATGGGAAAAACAGATGTAAAAATAGAAGTGGTACATTCAACTATGAACAGAGGCAAAACGGAATACAGCAGCATGCAGCAGCACTGACGTAGAGGCTGTCTCAAGTGGACAGTGTGCCAGCCAATCACCACTATCTTCTATCCATGTCGTGCCTGATGTCTTCGAGTGGAGGAGGGGACAAGTGAGAAACCTGCCAGCCAACAGCAGCCAGTAATGCTCTGCTGACAGGAAGCCAAGGGGCTGTTTGCTCAGGGGAAAATCTCACCCCAGGAATCCCTCACCTCACTGGGGTTAGGGTTTCATCTTAAACTGGCTGAATAGTTGTGTGTGGTTCAGGCAAGAATATTGGTGGTGAGGCTGCTGGATGAGAAGAGAGGAAAAAAAAAAAAAAACAGCATGAAAGACAAGGGAATGGCTAGCGGGACAGCAGAGTCTACAAAGAACTTACCGTGAATACAGCATGTATCAGTATTCCTTTTAGTATACAACTATAGCCAGGTATATGGATACACTACAGTTTGTCCACATAGCTGCTGGTGAACACTGGGCATTTCCAAGTGCCTGGGAATAATGCTACTTGGAATATCAGTATACATCTATATTCATTTCTCTTGGGTATCTACCTAGAAGTAGCACTGTTGGTCACTTGTGGACTCTATATTTAACTTTTTGATGTACTTCTAGACTATTTTCCAAAGTGAACAATTTATCTCAAACTCCTGCCACTGATGTACTAGAGTTCTAATTTCCCCAGTCTAGATCATACTTATTACTATCAGGGCTTGGGTGTGGATATTCTAGTGGGTATAAAGTAGTCTCATTGTGCTATTTTTTTTAAAACATCTATTATGTTATATTATGTATATGAGTTTTTGCATGTATGTATGTATGTATGTATGTATGTATGTATGTATGTATGTATGTGTATTATGTATGTGCCTGGTGCCCACAGAGGCCAGGAGAGGACATCAGATCCCCTGGAATTGGAGTTATAGATGGTTGTGAGCTGCCATGTAAGTGCTGGGAACAGAACCTGAGTCCTTTGCAAGAACAGCAAGTGTTCTTAACTGCTGAGCCATCCCTCCACCCCTGTATTATTTTTTAAAATCAAAGCCAAGCATTTATAGTTTAATACATGAAGCGTAGGTATATATGTTCCATTCATATTTCTATAAGGGAAGTACTTTAAATTCTTTCAGTTTAATTCTGTCACTTATTTTGAATTTCTGGTAATATGTTTGTGCTGTCATTTAAAAATCAGTTTTAGATAATATTTCTTAACTTCCAAATATGGAAGATGAACATTTAGTGTATGTATACACAAATACACACTCATTTTATCTTTTCAGTTTTACAATATAACCACAATCCCCATTTTGTTGTGGTTGTTAAATCAGTCATTTTTAACCTCTTGTATGCAAGGCAAGCTAAATCTCCAGTCCACTTCCTCAGTGTTTGACACACCAAATTCTGCAAGGAAATGAAAAAAAATCTGGATATATCCACACATCCTAGGTATGTTACTTTCTCTCTACATCTCATTGTTAGTCTCTGTGTCTCATAAGGTTTAGTTATATAGACCAGGCTGGTCTGAAACTCATAGACCTGTCTCAGTCTTCTAAATGCTGGGATATATACTGTTTCTTTCATTTAAAAATTATTTCTTTGGTATGTGATCAGAATTTAATTAGTATTTGTTGAATGAATGAAAGCAAATATCTAGACCTGAAATGAAAATATCAAAGATCTGGAGTCAGAAGGAAGCCTGTAGTCACTTCCTGTCTGCCAAGTGCCTTTCCTAGTCCATGGTGTTAACACAGCAGCTTCATTTGGAGGTGAGGTGTTTAAGGCTCTGAGAAGTTTTCTGACCTGCTTAAGCCATGAACAACTGTTGTGCAAGGCGAGGCCTCCTGTCTCTTGAGCTGTAGAACCCCTCTAGTTGATGACGTGATTTCTACAGAGAAGAAGTCTTGTGTATTGACAGGGACATGAACTTGGAATCTTTATTCTTCAAAGTATTTTTTCGGAACCCTAAAACTTAACAGTAAGTGCAAAGACTCTAAATAAAACACAAGAAGTATCATCAAAATGTGAAAACCTGACTCACATTGCTGTGTTAATATTGTCATGGCTAAGATTGGTAGGACCCAAGGAATCCAGTCTTCCAAAATGAAGCGATTGAGTCATTACTGCTCATTTGAATGTGCCCAACTTAGTGCCACCCCAAGTAGTGCCTTGTGTGGTCCTGAGCATGAGTTCCCTTTGTTTAACCAGTGCCTGTTGCCCTGTTTGCTGATGTGAGCTCTTTGATCTTCATTTGACATTATAGATGGGGACATGGTGAGGCATCAGGTGTGGGGACAGAGTGTTTGGGGATCACTCTAGGAAGAGAGGTTGCTTGAGTGCAAAGCACATGGCAAGAAGAGCAGAGGTCACAGGGAGTGAGTCAAAAGGGCTCCAAAGCTTCCATTTGCGCGCACCAACCACGGGTTTCTGCCTACAACCTACTAGAGCTGTGACAGACACACTAAGCAGAGGGGCCACGCCACTTCCATGTACCCACAAATGTCTGATCTATCTCAGGCCCCTTCTTGTTACTCTGGCAAGAGAAGAAATTTCTCTCATTTTGATCCAAACTTGGAGCAATTTTAGTCTGATGGAGAAGTTAACTAATGAACCTTTCTAATTTAGGGTCCTTCTTGACAAAACAGAAAAGAGAGCTAATGATGCTAGAAATGACTGTGTAGGGAGATAACAGACCAAGCATGAGTCCTCAGGAGCCCAAGGAAGCATGCTTCAGGAGGCATCCAGGGGCACTAACTCCACTGTGCAAGTGTCCTTTCTCGTATATGGTCTTCCTTTCATTGGGGGCTGAGGGGGTGGGGTGAGGAGGCTGATACTGTAGTCCAGGTTGGGCTCAAACTGGTGGAAGTCCTCCTGCATCAGCTGCTAGAGTGCTGGAATATTTTGCAAAGCTCATTCATGTTTTTACTTTCACGAGGGTCCCTCTCAGGATTCACTTTTGAAAAAATGAATTGTATTAAAGTGGTTTCTTAACAAAGGCATACCAGGACAATTTTTAAAAACAAAATTTGTAAATTTCTTACAAATGAAATCGCTAAACTTTTCCTCTTTATTAATGCTAATTTCTCATGCCTGAAGTTTGCATATTTTTCTGGTTAGCTCTTCTGAATTCTTATTTTTTTTTTCCAAGACAGGGGTTCTCTGTGTATCCTGGAACTCACTTGGTAGACCAGACTGGCCTCCAACTAACCGAGATCCACCTGCCTCTGCCTGGGATTAAAGGCATGTGCCACCACCGCCTGGCCAGCTCTTCTGAATTCTAACACTAAAGAATTCTTATTTCCCTAGTTAGGTAATCATAAACCACTTTCTCAACTTGTCACTTTCTCATGTCACACAGTAGCTATGACTTCTCTATTTCATGCACTTCCTGCAGAAGCACCTGTGTGGGAAACACAAGCCCCCCTTTGGAGCCACCGCTCTCTTACTTACTAGAAGGTAAAATGAGAATGACAACACATCTGCTTCATATAATTTTTGCAAGGATTCAGTGAGATGTATGTAGGAGTCACAGAAGCCTGCAATGATCTGAGCTGTTATCATTTGTTGTCTAATGGATGATCTCTGTACTTACACACCCATGTTTACTGCTGCAGTATTCAAGATAGCCAGGGAACAGAGCAGACAATGTGAAGACAATGTGGTGCATACACAGCATGGGACATTACACAGTTGGAAAGAAGGATGAAGAATGACAACTGCAGGAAAATGGATATAACTGATGTTAAGCAAAATAAACCAGACTCAGAAAGACCAGACCATGTTTTCTCTTACATGCAGAACTCAGTTTTAAAATTGTGTGTGTGTGTGTGTGTGTGTGTGTGTGTGTGTGTGTGTGTGTGTGTGGATAACTAGAAAGAGGATAATGAGAAGGTGGGAATGAGAAGGTGGGAAGTAGAGTGATAGAACATGTACATTAAGGAAGCAAACAGGAGGAGGAGCTGTGTGAGGGGAGAGTCCAGCAAAAGGGCGGAGTGTGTGTGGAGAGGTCATGAGCAAAAGTGTAATGCGACTGTATGGCACGTGTGTGAAGATGCTGTAATGAGACCTATTTGTGTACTAACACAAAGATTAAACAAAAGAAAACAAAACAAAGAATGCCAGCCAGTTAGCTTTGTTAACCAGTGAGCCTTGTGATTCCTGCCACCTCGGGGCTCTAAGACATGGCTGTGTAACTGCTGCAGTTTTAGCTCCTGCCTTCTTCCTCATATGTTGCTAGCATCCAGAGCATGGCTGCCACATAAATGAATGAATGTATATCGAAATTACAGCAATATTTTATGGGTAAGGAAACAGTCTCAGAGAGGTTGGTGACATAAAGTCTCCCAGTGACTTAGGGGAACTAACAGATGGTCCTCCTACCTGGCTGTCTTCTGTCACACCACTCCTAGATCTTACCTCATCATCTCAATCTTCAGACAGGGTATCTTTGTTATTAGGTGATCTTCAAGTGCTAAAAATAATTTAGAGTAAAAAGGATTCTTCGTTTGAAGCCTACCGTGGTATCCACAGCCTTGACTGCTTCTGTGGGAATGTGCTTTGGAACAGGCTCCGTCTGTGACAGTGTCACACATCCTGAAGCCCCTAAGGTGATGACCACGACCTGGCATCCCCGTTCTAGGAGAACCAATGCAGCCTTCCCAGCCTCAGTCGGATTATTCACTGCAAGGCCCGTTAAAATCTCAGCCTGGAATACGTGAGGAAAGAATCCATGGTGAGAATAAAGCAATTGAGATCTACTGCAGATTTGTCCCTTTAGAAAATGTGTCTTCCCTATTTTTCACAATGATTAAAGCAATGGGAACATTGAAGGACACTGGTGCAGAAACATAAATAAAAGGAACTAAAGTAAACCAGACGGTAGTAATGTGCACCTTTAATCCCAGGGGTTGTAGAGGCAAGTCAATCTCTGTGAGTTTGAGGCCAGCCTGGTCTACAGAGTAAGTTCCAGGACAGCCAGAGCTACCTGGCTTGTCTCCAAAAATTTGCTGTGTAGGATATTCTTAGAATGGGCATGGTGTGGTTTCAGGCTTACTATCTCAGTATTTGGGAGGCAAGATGGAAGGATAAGGAGTTAATGGCCCCAGTAAGTTCAAGCCAGCCTGCATTACAAAGTGACAAATGACAACAAACAAAATCCACACAAAAACAAAAACCTCAAACAAAACGAAACATTATTGGTTGGGGCAGAGTGTTGGAGAGATGGCTCAGTGGTTAAGAGCACTTGTTGAGCTGGCAGAGGACTGAGGTTTATTTCCCAGCCTCACACGGTGGCTTGTAATCACCTGTAACTCCAGTTCCAGAGGATCCCACCCTCTCATCTGACCTCCACAGGCCCCAGAACATACATATATGCAGGGGAAAACATTCAAATGCATAAAATAAGTCTAAAAATATTTTTTAAATTCTTGGGATAACTGGAGAAATCGGATATGATTTGTATATTAGATGACAGTACAAAATTAGTGATAATCTTACATGTGACAAAAGCATTAGGGGCTTTAGGAGATGCACACTAAAAGATTCAGGGGTATGGTACATTATCTATACCTCACTTTCAACAAAACAAAATATTTGTTTTTACTTTTCAATAAAAACAAAAAAATAAATACACACTTCGGGTGGGAGAACCAATATAGCAGTATGGACAGCTCACAAGATGAGGGGAGACTGATGTGTTGCTCTCTCAGCTCTGGATACAGGACTAGGAAGAACAAATGCAATCTATGAAAGAAAGCAAGAAGGTGGGGAGTAGGGGGTGGTCGCTGCCAGCGACTCCACAGACGCTGTGCCTGTAACACCGGCAGCTAAGCATGCCATTCCCCAGGCCTCTCCTGGCCTGGTATCTTTCTCATGCTGCTGCAGACGACTCAATTTTGTTTGTCTGCTTCTGCTAGAGAAGCTGGAAGCAGGCGAGCCCCTGCTGCTCACCACCTCCATGACCTTCCATAAATCAATAAATACAGTAATACAATACAGTAATTAAGTACAATAATTGAGCACAATCAGTAGTTCTCCTGGAACAGAAAAGCATCTTGGGCTGAGACAGGGTGCTCCTCTGGCATCTCTGGGGTGCTCCTCTGCTCGTGACACAGGTAGTTAAAAAATGCACTCGAGGAATTATATGGTACTTCTGACTCGGTGTATATAACTAAATAATTTTTTCCTATCACAGCTTAAGCACACACTATTAAGAGTGCATGTATGCCCTGCTTGTAGTTTCTGAGAATGTGCCCAAATTAAACCCATTTGTTATATGAAAACACAAAGTATGCAACTAGGCTGCTGTGACAGGTATGTTGTACCGGTGTGTACATTCTGACCCTTCGATGAGACACTGCTTCCTTCCTTAGACAGCAGCCTCCATGGGAACCTGAGTCTCTCCACCATATTGTCACATGGTCTGTACACTATAAGGCAACAGCCACTCCAGGAGTTGTGTGCTAATTACAGTTGCTAGTGGTAAAGGCACTTGCCATTAAGCCGAAGGACCTGAGTTCAACTCCCAGGACTCCCCTGAAACTTCCATACACCTGTCATGGCGTATGAGCATGTACACGGACAATGTATAAAGCCCTTTTAAAGT